TTATTTTGTGTTTTTTAAAATAGTTACGTTTTCAATATTTTCACCCCAATAATTTATTTTTATTATTAATGATTTCTCCATCTATCCNTCTATTTTTGTATTTTTATGTTTATATTTCTATATAATATATTTATTTTGTGTTTTTTAAAATAGTTACGTTTTCAATATTTTCACACCAATAATTTATTTTTATTATTAGTGATTTCTCCATCTATCCTCCGAAGAATTTAAATTTCGCGCAAATAGAAGTAAAATAAATCAAGGCGTGCGGCAGTCCACTGTACTCGCCTACCCTCCGTACACGCTAGGAACTAGGACGCGAGACCAGATTACCCGATTCGACCGATTATTATTCGACCGCGGTTGGCATCAGCATCGTAGTCGGCTTCTCAAATCGACGATTACGTACTGATTATGTGATTCGAGTAGTGACCGATTATCATCCGAATTCTTTTTTAATAATCGGAAGGTTTCGATTATTTCAATAATCGGATGANTGCGATCCAGGGTTACCCCTAGGTACTTGACGGTGGTCGCCCACTGGATGTCTTCTCCGTTGAACTTCACGTGTCCCTGGGGGCGCGTTTGGTACCTACGAGAAAACATAATACCTGTGCTTTTCTCCGGGTTGATCGCCACCTTCCACCTGTTGCACCAGTCCTCTAGTTGGCTTACAGCTCTTTGGAGGTACCTCTTCGCCATATCGGGGTTCAGGGAACGGGCCGTTATGGCGGTGTCATCGGCGTAGAGGCACACGGTAGTGCGCTCTGTCCTGGGCATGTCGGATGTATAGATGTTGAATAGGTGCGGTGATAGCACGGCTCCTTGGGGGACGCCTGCCTCGACGTCTCGATAGGTGGATAGGGTCCCTTCCACCTTCGCATGCAGCTTCCTGCCTCTGAGGAAGGACTCCACCAGTTTGACCAGTCCGATAGGGTAGCCAAAGTCGAGCACCTTAGCCAGAAGCCCATCGTGCCAGACCCTGTCGAAGGCCTTGGCGACGTCCAGGAAGACTGCCACGGTGGATTCTCGGTTGTTGAAACCTGCGGACAGATGTTCAACTAACCTGAGAATCTGCTGCTCCTTTGAGTGTCCGTTGCGGTAGGCGAATTGTTCGTCGGGGATGACTCGCAATTCGTCCGAGCTCTCACGCAGTCTGGTCAGGATGATCCTCTCCGCTACCTTGCTCATCATCGGCAGGAGACTGATGGGCCTGTAACTGGCAGCAAAGGTTAGATTCTTACCTGGTTTCGGGAAGAAGATGACGTCGGCTTTCTTCCACCTAGCGGGGAATCTTCGCAGTCTCAGGATGGCGTTGA